GGGACAAATTGGACACTCTTTTTTACACAACGATATACCCCAAAACTTAAAACATTGTTTATCTATTGTTTATTGTCACAGTAGCAAACCAGGTCCGCATAAAATGGGCTATTCCCTGGTCGTTGTCAGTTAACACTACATAACGAACAACACACAACACTGTTAAAATCAAATACTGCGACACCTGATAAAACAGCTAAAAATCGCCTTCTCCTAGCTATGATCATTGTAATCTAGAAAGCTTTAGATGCTTTTTGAATTTGCTCAGCGTAAGTCTGTCTGCACCCTCGGCTATAACAAGTTTATTGTACAGTGTAACAGATCGGTAAATAAAAGTACGCTTTCGCCTTTCCATGATCGTTTTTACACGTGGCAAGCTAAGATAGTTCGATGTGCGCGTGTAACGTAACGTTCTGTCGCGATTAGTGTGAAGGTACTGAGCTATTGAATCCGGCTGTCCTGTTCTCCAGATCTTGTGCAGAAGGCACAGGTCCGAGTAATTGACGAGCTTTTGGGCCGGTAGCCAGCCCAATGAATCGATACAACCAGAAATGTGGTCATATTTTCGTCTTCCTGATACTACTATTGCTGCGAAATTTACAACTTTTTGCAACTTGGCAATTCGCCCAGCGTTGGCACTTCCATAAACCTGAATGCGATAGCGCACGTGTGACAGAACCAGTGAATCAACAATGCGAGGTAGGAGATGATGCGGAAGAAGGTGGCGGGCGCTGGCTAGACCTATTAAAATACCGGTACATTTGCTAGCAACTTGCTCGACATGCGGTTCCCACAAGTTACAGTCCATTTTAACACCGAGGTTTCGATCACACTTGGCCGGCTGTAAGGTTTCGCCTAAAAACTGCACATTAACCCGCGCCCTACTGGGGGGGGGGGGTGTTTGAACACCCCCCCTTATGGTTTTTCGCGAATATCTCAAAAACGGCGGGTTAACCCGCGCCCGGCTGGGGGTCCTGGATTTCCACGCCCTGCTGGGGGGGGGGGGGGGTGTTTGAACACCCCCCCCCCCCTTGTAACTCGGCTCCTGGGCCACGTAGCGACACGCGGAAGGCAGCGTTCGAAAGAGCGTAAAAAATAATGACGAAATCACTTCGGTCAATTTTTTGGTCAGGTCAAAGGTCAGGTCACCAGAGGTCATTGAAGGCAAAATTTCGCCGATTTCCAGGTCGAATGTCGAAAATTTCCAAGAAGCCAACGCATAACTCGGGAACCAATAGAGCTACAGCGCCGCGGAAAAGTGCATTCGATAGCCCTATTAACGCCCTTTCTGAGTAATTCTCTCAGATTTGACCTAACGTCAACGGTTTTGCCTGCAGGGGGCAAAAACTGCATAAATAGCCGATTTTTTTCGGAAACAGTTTTTCTGCAATAACTTTTGACCCAAGCCCTGTACGAGCTTACTTTTACCGGCATCGTGTTCCTCTCATCAAGACGCATCGAATGAACTATAACTTGACCTTGAAAGGTCAACTTGAAAATTTGACCTCAGGTCAAGGTCATGACCTGACCGGAAAAGGTCATGTTGCATATCAGTCGATCCGTATCGACGAGCTGAACACATATAAGGCATTTTCATCACTCTAGCATGCCTCTATCAAAAGTTATTTGCGAAAAACTGTTAGATACCATTCGTGACCTAAGATGACCTCAGGGCACAAACAAGGGTCACGGACACCATTTTCAGGTTCAGTGTGTCTAAACCACTTGTAATTCGGTGTTTGGGAGTGTTTATAATGTCTTTCGTCCAAAAGAGGCGCATTTCAATTTTTTCCCATTGACTTATAATGGGGAGGTCGCAAAATTGACCTGACCTCAGGTCATCGATATCAAAATTCTGAGATATAAATTTTGTACATGCTATTGCTCTTAGAAATCGCTGAAAGTTTCAAAGCGATCGGTCACTCGGTGTAGCTATGACAGACATTGAAACTTTTTATGAGGTGAGGTCACTTCAAGTGACCTGGTGACCTGACCTTGAATGACCTTGGTCTGAAATTTTAACAACATGTGTAGAATTGATGTATGATAAGGTGTACCAAAAACGACGGCGCTCCGCGCCGCCGTTTTTGAGATATTCGCGAAAAACCACAAGGGGGGGGGGGTTTCAAACACCCCCCCAGCAGGGCGCGGGTTTAACTTGCCCTTCCCCTACGTACTGCAGCTGACGCCTATCACCTATCAGTATCATCTCAGTTTTCGCTGCGTTTACTTTCATTCCATTCTGAGCGAACCAGGTGCCCATAATTTCGAGCAGCTGACTAAGGGCAGTTTGTAGCTCTCCGAGACGGGTGCGAGGCCCCGTGACACCGATTTGTGTATCGCCAGCGAATCTGGTCATTATACCTTAAACCCACTGACCGAATTTGTCAGATGCAATGCTAAATCATGAGTGGTAATATTAACCCTCGCCGGCACAGGCCATTTTGAGTCCTTCGACGGCACAAAGGGGGGGGGGGGTTGGTACGACCCCCCTCGCGTTTGGCCCCTGATGGAGCTAGAGCTTCGCGGAAAAAACGAGCGTGTTGCCCGTCACGAGAGAAAGCCAATGATACCCAATTTTAAGGTCCTAGGTCATCGGTTGACCTTCCAGGTCAGGCCAATGGCCCAAAAATCGGGATCAGGACCTGTTAGAAAGTCGTAAAGTGTGGCTGCTAATGGGTTTTCCGGGGTGCTGATCACGAATATCGTGTTAGTTTTGATCACAGATGATGTCGTTAAGCGTTTAGACCAGGTCAAGTCAGGTCAGGTCAGGTCAACCGGTAGGGGTCGTGACGGGTATTCGTAGTACCTGTCATCCGCCTCTGACAGCTTCGTAACATGTTACGAAGGCACCAAAGCTACTTCGTAAATGTTCAAATGGTTGCTAAATTCGAATTCAGCTCCAAAAACTAGCCTAGAAACAAGTAAAACTCGAAAAAGTAACCGAGGTCCCCAAAGGTCAATGACCTGACCTGACCTTCAGGTGACCTTGACACCCACCCTAATGCATGGAGCAACATCAAATCACACGTTTGAACGTTTGAAACCACGAAAAGCTTGCAAACGCGCGGTTAATGCGAGCCGACATACGCCGAATCGCGATTCCGGCCAAACATGGTCTCGGAAAAGAGGTCACAGGTCAACAGTCATTGGGGTCAGGGTCATTGAATTTTCAGGGTAGGTGTAAAATTGATCAATGCGAGGGTACTGAAAGTTTCGTCGTAAATGGCCGCTTTTTACGCGAGTTATTCGCGAAAAACCTTAGGGGGGTGCATCAACCCCCCCGTGCCGGCGAGGGTTAGGTAAACAACAACGGGCCGAGACAAGATCCCTGGAATGTACGAATATTTATGCTTTTGGATGACGACAACACATTTCCCAAGCGGACCTGTTGCTTATGACCTTCCTGGTAGCTTCTAAACCATCCCGAACTGATCTGGAGCTGCTCTATACCTACATTCCTACACATTTCACATTTCTACATCACTGGAATGATGACTTGCTTTGCATTTTTGTTTTCAATTTGAGACAGTTACCTCAACATGCCAGGATGTCCACCAAAGACAATGTGGAAAGACGTTAAACAACGGCGGCCAAACAGCGGGGCCACTTGGTCGGGGGGGGGGGGAGGGGGCTGGGCTACTCTTTTTGGCTACAGTGGCTACAGTGGCTACTTGTATTTGGTCGATGTTAATTAGAGGCAGCCTGGTAGGAAACCTATGCTATACCTAAGTGACCAACTTTCAGGATGCTTAGGAAAGATGGTTTATGCAATGCATTTCTCAGATAAACTTGACGCTGGACTTGGATTCGAAGGACTGCGACTGAAGTCTGTTCCGAATAGTTTTCGTCACATTTTCGTCAGCAGCTCAGAACGTGATTACTTTGAACACTCGGCTGTGTTACAAGTATGCATTGACATTTTATCCGCGATTGTTTTCTCGACGCTCCAATAACAATGGGAAGTGAATAGTGACCTTAACCCTCGCCGAACCTATTGGTTTTCTACATACACGCCGGCCGAGGGGGGGGGCGGGTACGACCCCCCTTGCCGTTTCGCCCTGGTGGAGCGAGCGCGTCGCGGAAAAAACGAGCGTTTGCGCCGTTACAAGACGCAGAGATTGATACTCGATTTCAAAGCCCTAGGTCCACCGGTGACCTCTGAGGTCAGGTCAAGTGTTCCAAGGTACGGTTCCGTTTTTGGTGAATAACTTCGCTAAATAAAAACGGTCGCAGAGCAGTGATTTTGGCAGCATCGTGTTTGTTTCGCTCAGGCGCGTCGAATGATATACGTTTTGTTTGAGTGTGGTCAACTTTGTTGACCTCGGTTCACGGTCAGGTCAGCGCCCCCCGGTCACGATATTCTTCGGAGGAGGTCATGTTGCGTATCATTCGATTCGGCATGTCTTTCTGAGCTCTTGGTGGCTTTCCCGACTCGCTAGCTCAATTTGGTCGGGAGTTTTTGACGAAAAACTAATATGACCCAAATGACGTCATAAATGACGTCACGCAAGGTCAACATTGCAAAAGTGACGCATCGAACCTTGCAAAGAGTGCATAAAATCACGATTCTGTATGCTTGATATAGTTGGAGATCGTTCTCGGCGACAGATTAGCTGATTTCCTTTTTCCCCATTGACTTATGTTCCCGGACCAGAAAGGTGGCTGATGGGGCCTAGGTATGCAATATCAAATTTCATCAAAATGATGATATGGGAGAAAATTGAAATGCACCTCTTTTGGACGAATGTCGTTCTACCCCCCCCCCCCCCCCAAACATAGGCGGCGGAACGGGGTGGGCACCGGCCCGGGGCATCGTACCCCCCCCCCCCCCTTTGACTTTGGCATTTTAACATTAGCCCTATGGGCGATGCAAGGAAGGAATGGCAATACACAATGGCAATCTGCTGTGCAATACACTGCGCTTAAAACGGACTATATACTTAATTCCCCGAGGCACTATTTTCTATTCATCCGTGCGCATAATTCAAACGCCATGAGTTTGATGATAATGGTATTCATTTTCAAGAAGTATCAACATTCACGCACCGCGTAACACTCGATGATTTATGAACAATGAATAGCGTCTCTCAGACCCACATACTGATTTGCAGTGGCCGGCTGACGGTGACCCAGCTGACGGTGACCCATCTGACAGTGGCCGGCCGACAGTGGCCGGCTGACGGTGGCCGGCTGACACGCTACCCGCGATCCGCGGCGAGGCAGCCCCGGTGGCGATGGGCAGACGCAGCTCGCCCGGCGCGGCCGGTATCGGTGCCGACCACTGCGGTCACGGCCACCACCTACTCACTGAGTGTCCCACACCGAGCGCCCACACCAGAATTGATCGACCGCCGAGAGCCACTCTCAGAGGCGTCGTGGTGTCGGAAACAATGAAAGTAAGCCTTTAATGCTCCGAGGATGGAACAAAAACATCAATAAGCTGATGTTGAATCAAACGTAAATAACGCATAAAATGGATTGCATCTTACAATGTCATCATATTGCGTGTATAACTTGCGTTTACAACGGTTGAAATAACAATTATTCCGAAACAAAACATGGTACTGAATGAAAAGGAGCCACTTCCGTCACACGTAATTGCTGCAAAGACAATCTTACAAACCGGTCACATGGACCCAACAAGACGACGGCGCCTGTCCGATTCCAGCTGTGTGAGTTGTAGCGGCAGGCGCCTCCTGAGCGCTGCGCCCGTCCCGCTCTCCCGGTGTTCACTGGGTCCCGGCCCGCGTTGCCAGCCGGCCGGCCGTGCCACTGCCTACCCGCCCCGTTCCCCATTGAAAAGCTAGAGGGCCGGCGGCGCGACCTCAGTTGCGGCGTTTGCCGGCCTTCTTGGCGTCGCCGCCGCTGTTTGCCGGGCCGGCGCTGTGCAGGCTCTCGGCCAGGCGCGCCTGAACGTCCGGCGGCGCCGGCACGTAGCGCGCGTACTCCATGCTGAACTCGCCCTTACCCTGAGTTCCCGAGCGCAGCTCGGTGGCGTACCCGAACATCCGGTTCAGCGGCACCTGTCCATGGGGGGTGGGGGTGTCAGCAGTATCTGTCCATGGAGGGAGGGGGTGTCAGCAGTATCTGTCCATGGGGAGGGGGGTGTCAACAGTATCTGTCCATGGAGGGAGGGGGGGGGGGTGTCAGCAGTATCTGTCCATGGAGGGAGGGGGGGGGGTCAGCAGTATCTGTCCATGGGGAGGGGGGTGTCAGCACTCAGCAGTATCTGTCCATGGAGGGAGGGGGCGTCAGCAGTGCCTGTCCATGGGAGGGGTGTCAGCAGTATCTGTCCATGGGGAGGGGGGGGGGGGTGTCAGCAGTATCTGTCCATGGAGGGAGGGGGCGTCAGCAGTGCCTGTCCATGGGAGGGGTGTCAGCAGTATCTGTCCACGGAGGGAGGGGGGGGGGGTGTCAGCAGTATCTGTCCATGGGGGAGAGGGGGGTGTCAGCAGTATCTGTCCATGGGGAGGGGGTGTCAGCAGTATCTGTCCATGGGGGAGGGGGATGTCAGCACTCAGCAGTATCTGTCCATGGAGGGAGGGGGCGTCAGCAGTGCCTGTCCATGGGAGAGGGTGTCAGCGGTGCCTGTCAATGGGAGGGGGAGGGGGTGTCAGCAGTGCCTGTCCATGGGAGGGGGAGGATGTCAGCACTCAGCAGAATCTGTCCATGGAGGGAGGGGGCGTCAGCAGTGCCTGTCCATGGGAGGGGGTGTCAGCAGTGCCTGTCCATGGGAGGGGAGGGGGTGTCAGCGGTGCCTGTCCATGGGAGGGGGCGTCAACAGTGCCTATCCATTTGCCGAACTAACGGGCAACTGGGGCATTCCACGATAGATCGTACCAGGCCCGTCACCCTCATCTCTCAAATTTGAATGAAAATTGGTACAGGGGGTTATCATAGGCTTCAAAAACACCTGCCAAAATATCAGACTTCTCAGATGAAAACTTTTTGAGTTACATTGCATAATATTTTCTAAACTTCAGATTGTAAGGGTGAGTTTGATGAGCTATAACTCAAAAACGAGCTAAGCAAGCAACAAACGGTAAACAGCTTTGAACTAACGATGAATCAAAGATTAATACAGTATTTTTAAAATTGGAAAGAAAAGCTTTACATATTAAAAAAATGGTAGTATTTTTTTAAATTGTCTATAATGACCCTTGGGACCAAAATTTTTGCCATTTTTATTTCTTCAAAATAAACCTCAGGTCCTTTAGAATCGACATGCAAAAAATTAGAAAGGTGTTCTTTCTATAAGTTCCTCATTTAAATGTATACAAAATGGGTTTCCGGGGGGTCGGTACGACCCCAGCTCGCCGTTTCGCCTCTAATGGAGCTAGAACCTTGCGGAAAAAACGAGCATGTGCGCCGTTACAAAATGCATCGAATGATACCACATTTTAAGGTCTCAGGTTCATTGGTGACCCCTGAGGTCATTTCAAGTGACCCAAATTACGGGTCCGGTTTTTGATTGATAACTTCGTAACAAATGGTCGCAGAGCCGCGATTTTAGCATCTTTGTGTTTGCCTAGCTCCGGCGCGTCGAATGGTATACTGTTTGTTCTGGTGAAGTCAGCTTTGGATTGGGTGGCGCCACCGTCGCCGGTGCCTGACGTGGCTGTGGCGCTCTGCTATTTTTTGGGTTTTTCCCAGTTTCTTGACAAGCCAGGACGGAAAGTGGGCTCCAGGACACTCTTTAGCCGTTTAGCTAACTTTTGATTGCTGCGATATAAGGCTAGTGACTGTACACTCCCGACTTAGGCGTCTTAGCGTCGGGCTGTGTTTGGGAGAGTGTCCCCGTCAGACGCCATGGCACCGGACCCCTGCCGGTGACGTCACCTGGCGCTGACCCGGGTCGAGGTCGGACTCGGCCAGGCACATGTCACCGTGGCCGAGTGGATAGGGTGCTGGCCCCGGAGGAGAGGGAGTGAGGAGTAGAGCGGGTTCGAGCCCCGCTGGCCGTCGGAGCTTTTGCTTTGGCTGGTATGGTCAACTTTGAAGGCTTCAGCTGCTGAGCTGGTAGATGCAAGATGAAGACCAGTCAATGCATAACGCACTGCTGTAGGTGCGTAACAAACCCATGCAAGGCGTGCCGCTGTGTCAGACTGGGAAACCCGTGCACCACCTGCCGATTCGGGGATAAATGTCCCAACACGACACCATCTGCCACGACCGACATTGCCGCTGAAATAGCTACCTTGAAGCGAACCGGGCGGATTCTACCCCACGTCCCAAGAGGAGCGCGCATCGCTGTGGCTGACGAACTCGCCCGCCTCATCAACAGCGCCGTCGCTGAGGGCGCCGAAGGCGCATGGCGCAGACTAATGCGCTTTGCTTACACCGCGCTGAGGGTCAAGGAGCAATCGCAGGAGGCGCCGAGGAGGTCACTAGCTGCAAAAGTACGCCTAAATCTGACGCAGAACGGGGACCCAGACGGAGCACAGCCATCGGTGCCACCCACCAAGCGCCGCCGCGGTTATCGCCCAGCGGACGAGGTGACAGCGATGTCCCGACGCGTGGCTTCAAAGCTCACGGACGGCGACATCCGAGGAGCACTCCGAACGCTGACGTCCGATGACTCCTACGCACCCCCAGCGGATGATGTCATCAACAAGATGCAAGAAAAGCACCCGAAGCCGCCCACCGATCTGCGTGACATCCCACCGCCCGATGACAGCCAGGCGCCTCTGGTGGCCTCTGAGGCGGACGTGATGAAGGCCATCAACTCTTTCCCGCCGAGCTCCAGCGCAGGGCTCGACGGAATCCGACCGGCCCACTTGCGCTCTCTGCTCACCAAGCACACTGCTGAGGCTGGAGCTCGACTACTCACGGCCCTGAGGGCGCTCACAAACCTGGCACTGAGCGGTCGCCTGCCCGAGTGTGTGGTGCCAGCGTTCTTCGGCGTATCGCTGATCGCGCTCCGAAAGAAGGACGGCGGCCTGCGGCCCATCGCGGTTGGGAGTGTTTACCGCCGCATCGCAGGGAAAGTCGCCGCGGCAGCCGTCTCTGGGGCTATAGGAGCTCGACTGCGTCCAATACAGCTCGGTGTGGCCACAAGGAACGGCTGTGAGGCGGCGGTGCACGCTGTCAGAGCCTACATACAAGGGAGCTCAGAATCGGCCGCAGACAGCAAGATCATGGTCAAGTTGGACGTGTCCAATGCATTTAACACCGTGCGCAGGGACTCCATGATGGAAGCCGTAATAGAGCAAGCGCCTGCCATCTATCCCTTCGTATGGCAGGGCTACAACACCACCACACCGCTCTTCATAGGCGATTCCAAAATCCTGTCTCAAACAGGAATTCAGCAAGGTGACCCACTGAGTTCTCTGCTGTTTTCCCTGACGGTGGATGCCGCCGCCAGGTCTGCAGACACATATATCAACATCTGGTACCTCGATGACGGCACGCTGGCGGGATCAGTGCCTGATGTTGTCTCCAGCATCCAACGAGTGAAGGCAGAGCTGAGCAAGGTGGGCCTCACCATAAATCCGACGAAATGTGAAGCCATTCTCCTGGAAGGATCCAGCGAAGAATCCAAGTCCATCGCTCTACGCCACCTCCACAGCGTCCTGCCAGACATCCGAGAAGTGGCCATGAACGAGTTGGAGCTGCTTGGCGCGCCTGTGCACGACGACCAGGTGCGACGTAAGCTTCTACAAGGTCAGCTTATGGTGGAAAAGCTCATCAGACGGCTGCAGGCCCTGGAGGAGGCACACCAGGCATTCTTCCTGCTGAAGAGCTACGTCAGCCTTCCTCGCGTTCTGTACCTCTTGCGAAGCTCCCCGGCCTATCGCCACCCTGCCCTGCTCGTCAAGATCGACGAAACCGTTCGCTGCGGCATGGAGGCAATCACGAACGTCCGACTGCGAGGCGACTCATGGCGGCAGGCGACGCTGCCCGTCAATCTCGGCGGACTTGGTGTGAGGATGGTGACTGACGTGGCCCTTCCTGCCCACATCGCTTCACAAGTGGCCTCCGCTGACACGATCGCAAGTATCAACGGCTCGGCCGCTGCTCATGTCGGTGAGGCGACGCGATGCCTGGTCGAAGAGTAGACATCGTTTAGATGTCTACTCTTTAGATGTAGTAGTTTCTAACTCTGATAACATTGTCCGACGTGTGGGTGTTTTTCCATGCGCTTTTAGCCCTCACAGCTATGTTCGTTTAATCGTATCGATACCAAAGTGTCGTAGAAAGGTCTCTCGCGTTAGTACTAGGTTGCTCAAACGTGTCGATCCTTCTGATCTGTTGGATGATTTGCACCGCGTGGACTGGTCTGGAGTTTTTAGTAGTGTGTCTGTTACTGATATGTGGTCTTATTTTACCGACCGTCTGTTACCGGTGATAGATAGGCACGCTCCCATCCGACTTGTGACGATCAGAAACCCCGATGCGCCGGCGGTTACGCCGGCCACACTGGACCTGATGGCACGGCGGCGGGGCGTGCTGCGTCGTGAAGGGAGGTCGCCTGCTTTCCGGGACTTGGATAGGAGAGTCAGGTCCGCTATCAGGCGTGACTGCCGTGCGGACATTGAAGGGAGATTGCGAGAGCAAGGAGGCAGCTCCCTCTATCGTGTTGTTCGCCCAGTCATCGCCGGCAAGCGAAGCAGCGCGCCCAGCCTTCCTGCTGCCACACCCAACGAGCTCAACGCCTACTTCGTGAATGTCGGACCCCGTGTCGCGGCCGGCCTGTCCGATCTCGGGCCGCCGCCGGACATTCCGTGCCGTCTGCCGCGTGTGGGGGCGTGCGGGTTTCGTGTATCTGGCGTGACTCTGGGCGCCCTGCGGGAGGTCATGTTCTCCATGAAGCGTTCCGGTGCGTGTGGGACTGATGGTATATGCATCCGTATCCTACTCCTGTGTTTTGATGCCATCGGACCTGTCCTTCTCCACATCATTAATACCTCCCTTACCACTTGTGACATCCCTGATGCCTGGAAACACTCCCTGGTTCACCCTATTTTCAAATCCGGTGACTCAGCCCTCATTTCCAACTACCGTCCTATTTCCATAGTCCCTG